CTCAGCACCCCCAGGCTCAGCACCCCCAGGCACAGCACCCCCAGACTCGGCACCTCCAGGCTCAGCACCCCCAGGCACAGCACCCCCAGGCTCAGCACCCCCAGGCTCAGCACCCCCAGACTTGGCACCTCCAGGCTCAGCACGCCCAGACTCCGCACCCCCAGGCTCAGCTCCCGCAGCAGCACCAGAGTCACCAGTGACCTCGACAGGCTCGACCGCGTCTACCTGGGACACACCTGAAGGGGCAGGACCCTGAGGGGGGAGGGGGACTACTGGGGGGGGACCTGGTACCAAGAAGAGCGGGGGTGGGGGGAGGGACGGAGTGCGGTAGGGGAAGAGGCGGTAGTAGGGTACCGACTCGTCGAACGTGACGTCCTGGGAGGACTAAACACGTCGAGAGGTGGGGTGGTAAAACTGCCACCCAGGGGCGTCGGGGGGGAACCCCAGGAAGACGCAGGGAGAAGCACGAGGGGACAGCTTGTCCGCAGACAGGTCGCGAACAAACGCCCGAGATCCCCAGACCCGGAACGCCGACGCATCGCCAACCTTCCCCGTCCACAGCAGGGCTGGGGAGGTCTCCGGTCGAGAGACCCTGGGGTGGAGGTTGATCTGGTGCGCAGCGTACCTGACCGCAAACGGCCACAGAAAATGGGGAGCAGCCGCATGCATCATGGACGTACGAGCGACGTCCATGACCATGCCAATGCGGCGCTCAGCAATCCCATTCTGCTGCGGTGAGTCCGGAAGCGTGAAGGTCTGACGGATGCCTCGCGCACGACAGTAGGCACTCAGGAGGCCAGAGGAGAACTCTCCGCCTCTGTCCGAGTGCAGACGCAAAACAGGGAAGTCAGAGCCAAAGCTCCTCCGAAGCTGGAGACGAGCTGCGCGGATCCAGTCGATCAACACCGCAGTGACGTCACCCTTGCTGCGCAAGGGGAAGACTGTGGTGTAACGCGAGTAGTCGTCAACCACCAGCAGGAAGTAGCGCTCCTGACCCTGTCCACGGACGCGGGCTGGGCCCCACACATCCATGTGAAACGTTTGCAACGGGGCCTCTGTCGGAGGAAACTGGGAGGAGTGAGGGGCAGCACGCTGGCGCCCCTCGACACAGGGGACACAGGTGGGGCCAGGGCCCGGAGGGAGGGGAGGGAGAGACCGGGGAAGACCAGACACAAGGACTCGCGAGGCCATGCCTCTGAGCCGAAGCAGAGAGGGGTGGCCAAGGCGGTGGTGCCAGAGGAGGGTCTCGTGAGACAGACGACGGCACGAGCAGGGGGCAGACTCAGGACCAGACCTGGACGCTGCAGCAAACACCTGACCAGACGAAGTGACCCTACCAGACTCAGCACCTGGAGGAGAAGCAGTGGTCAGAGTGTACAGGCTCGACCCTGGCCGACGTGTAAACGTAGCCAGGTGGCGACCTGTATCCGCCTCCGTGCAGTGGGTCACCCGCTGACGAGCAGGGGTGAACTGGTGGACACCCGCATCCTGGAGGTCAGCACCACTCACCAAGTTCGTCGAGAACGAGGGGAGGTAGAGACCAGTCAGGGTGCCAGAGGGGGCCGCCGGACACGGGAGGACAGTGGAGAAGCGAGACAGGACAGGCCCCCCAGAGGGGTCAGCCAGGGACACCGCAACCGGCCGACTCAGCGGCGTGAGAGTGGTGCGGTCCCGAAAGAAGGAGCGAGACGCTCCAGAGTCAAGGGTGAAGGTGTGAGAGGCCGAAGCCGACACAGTACCTGAGAGGGCAGACTCACCAGCACCTGAGAGCACAGACGCACTGGCACCTAGAGCAGCAGCCTCACTAGTACCTGACGCGGCAGTACCAATGCCCGGGTCGGGCGGGAAACACCGGTAACAGTCATCCTCATCACTACCAATCGCAGCATACATAGCAGAGAGAATAGCATCAAAATCAAGATCATAAATAGCTACACCAGCCCTAGACAGCTCTCCCCAGCGGGGGATCTCAGCTGCCTCCGGAAACTGCTGACGCCAGGCGTCAGTCAGGCGGCCAAAGCAGCGGCGGGCAGTGTGGGCGCCTCCACACCTCTCCCCTGCACGGTCACCGGTGCGGAGAACGTAGGGGCAAGGACCAAGCGCACCACCACGCTGACGCTGCGAGTACCACTCACGGAGCTGCTGAGGGGCGGGGACGGTGCGAGAGCGCTGCTGCTGCTGTGGCTGCTGCTGCGGCTGCTGCTGCTGCTGCTGCTGCTGGCGCTGACCACCCCCGGAGCTGCTCCGCTGGGACGAGCCACTCCGACCCCCGCCTCCACTGCCACCCCCGCCTCCACCGCCACCCCCGTCTCCACCTCCACCTCCCCCACCAGGACCGTCGCTCCCACCGCTCCCACCGCCTCCTCCGCTACCACCTCCGCCGCCACCTCCGCCTCCACCGCCGCCACCAGTACCTCCACTCCCGCCACCACCCCCACCGCCACCCCCACTCCCCCCGCCACCCCCACCGCCTCCTCCACCGCCCCCTCTAGCTCCACCCGCTCCCTTGCCCCCCTTGCCCTTGCCAGCGCGGCGTCTGCCGCTGGGGGCAGACGCCGCGCCGACCGACTCAAAACCAGTGAGGTCGGCCGCAGCGGCAGAGGCGACAGAGGGCAGCAGGGGGGAAGGACCACACCCCTCAAAGATGGGGGTGCGAGGGTCACCCCGAGAGGCCCCTACAGCGACAATACTCTTCTCAGCCGCTAGCAGGGACTCCTCAAGGAGGTCGACAGTGAGAGTGGTGGGACAGACAGAGAGAAACTGGTCCCTAACGACACGAAGGGACTCAGGGAGACGGGTGACGAGAAAGTAGAGAGTGATGTACATGGGAGGAGGGTTCGCAGCGCGGAACTCAGCAGGAAGGGCAGCGCGGTAGCGGGTGTCACTAGCACGGAGGTGGGTAACGAGGTCAGCGACAGTGGGAAAGGAAGCGAGGTCAGGGAAGAGAAACGGTAGCATGAGGCGGCTAAGGGTAGCGGAGGAAGGGGAGGAGTAGCGTGCAACTACAGCGTCGTACAAGGCCTGAGCGGTCTTGCACTGACTAAAGTGGGCACGCTCAGAGGAAGGGAGGTGGCGACGCACAGCAAGACGTGCAGCAGCATCGCGGGTCGCCCACTTGGAGCGAACGGCAGAGTCAGCATCAGCAGGTGGGGCAGGGACAGCGCCAGAGACAAAGTCAAAGAGAGAGACCTCATCTATCGCATCACACAGTAAGTACAGCTGCAGGTCTTCAATCCAGACGGCAAAGTCAATGGCCCTCCCCTCAGCGTCAAAAGTAAGAACATTGGGGGTGGCCATGGCAGCAGCTGAAAGTCTCACCGGGCTGGGAGAGTCGGGTAGGTCAGCAGCAGAGGAACAGCAGAACGGCTCCGCAGGCGGCTCGGGCGGCGCGGGCGGCTCGGGCGGCACGGGCGGCTCGGCGGCGGCTCGGGCGGCGGCTCGGTGGCGGCTCGGCGGCGACTCGGCGGCGGCTCGGCGGCGGCTCAGGCGGCGGCGGCTCGGCGGCGGCTCGGCTGCTGCTGGGCGGCGCGGGCGGCTCGGGCGTCACGGGCGGCTCGGCGGCGGCTCGGGCGGCACGGGCGGCTCGGCGGCGGCTCGGGCGGCGGCTCGGCGGCGGCTCGGCGGCAGCTCGGCGGCGGCTCGGCGGCGGCTCGGCGGCGGCTCGGCGGTGGCTCAGGCGGCGGCGGCTGCTGCTGGGCGGATCGGCGGGGCCGCGTAGCAGAGTGGCGGCGGGGCCGCGACCGAAGAGAGCGGCGGGGCCGCGTAGCAGAGGGCGGCGGGGCCGCGTAGCAGAGGGCGGCGGGGCCGTGTAGCAGAGGGCGGCGGGGCCGCTACCGAAGAGAGCGGCGGGGCCGCGAAGCAGGGGGCGGCGGGGCCGCGTAGCAGAGGGCGGCGGGGCCGCGTAGCAGAGGGCGGCGGGGCCGCGATCGAAGGGCGGCGGGGCCGCGTAGCAGAGAGCGGCGGGGCCGCGTAGCAGAGGGCGGCGGGGCCGCGTGGCAAAGGGCGGCGGGGCCGCGATCGAAGGGCGGCGGGGCCGCGTAGCAGAGGGCGGCGGGGCCGCGTAGCAGAGGGCGGCGGGGCCGCGTCGCAGAGGGCGGCGGGGCCGCGAGGCAGAGGGCGGCGGGGCCGCGTGGGGAAGGGCGGCGCAACGGTCCGCTAGGGGCGACACGACGGGTCGCTAAAAAAAAACGCGCCTCGGGGCGCGGTTCGGTGGGCCCTAGAAGCAGTCCCTAGGAGGGAACCTGCTCTGATTCCATGTGGAAACAAAGAACGAGAATGAAATGACTATGAACGAAGTGAGTACAAATAGGAAACCCTAATTGGGTTGTACCCCCTATGGGATACCCCACTATAGCCTACAGAAACAAGTAAGCTATATGTTCTGACACTGAAGGAGCTGCATATTCCGCCAAGTAGGGGAAAACATTCAGCTGGAGCATGGTACGTGCCAGGGGTGCTTGCAGGGGGGGCGTGGATTGAGTCGTAGGGTGTCGCCGCGCAGAGGCAAGTGTCGTGTCTGTTGCCCTTTCTTCCGCCACTCGCCTCCTGCTGCTTCTGACCATCACTTGTTGCACCGCCTGTGTGTGTGTGTGCGTGTCCCTCTCCCCGTGCGTGCGTGTGTGTGCCTCATGGCCTGCAAGGCGGACGGGAGTGGCAGCAAGTGGACGGGGAATCGACACGGCTGCCGTTGCTGGCTTGCATGAGAGACGGCTGTCCTGCGAGGAGAAAGGGGAGAAAGGGGAGCAACCTGGAGCAGCACGCCTGAAGTGAAGGCATGGTGCAAGAGTGGTACGTGCCAGGGGGTGCTTGCAGGGGGGCCGTGAATCGTAGAGCGTTGTCGCGCAGAGGCAAGAGTCGTGTCTCTTGTTCTTGTTTCTGCCACTCGCCTCCTCTCCTGCTGCTCCTAATCCTCCCTTGTTGTCCCGCTTCTGTGTGTGTCTCTCTGTCCATGTGTGTGTGTGCCTCATGTCCTGCGAGGCGGAGGGGGGTGGCAGCGAGGCATGATGGCACAGAAAGGGGGGAGGGAGGATCAGGGCACACAAGAGGTTGTGAGTGGATCAGGTCAAGCAGTTCACCACTTCACTTCTCACCATCTTTCTGCTTTCCGTGTTCCATTCTCTCCTGTCCACCATTTTTCCACGTGCCATGAGTCTGTGCAGCGGTGCTTTCAGATGTCCGTGCCACTCTCCTCGGCTCCCTAACCCCTCTCCTGTCCTCTCCTCCTCTTTGCAGCGACCGGTGGTTGCGACTGCAGCAGTAGCAGCAGCGGCATTGGAGCAACCAGGAGCACGGGCAGCGGCAGGGCGCTGCTTGGAGCGAAGGTTTGGCGCAGCAGCAAGAGAGCAGCCTGGAGTAGCACACTAGCAGAGAAGGCGTGCTGCACGCAGAGCGGCAGGGTGGCACACGGAGCATGGTACGTGCCAGGGGGTGCTAGCTGGGGGGCCATGAAGTGGGTCGTAGGGCGTCGCCGCGCAGAGGCAAGAGTCGTGTCTGTTGCTTTTGCCTCCACCACTCGCCTCCTCTCCTGCTGCTTTTAACCCTCCCGTGTTGCATCGCTTCTGTGTGGCTGTCTCTTTCCTCGTGCGTGTGTGTTCCTCACAGCCTACGAGACGGAGGGGGAGGGACCGGATGGGGAATGGACGAGAGGCAACCATCCAGCGAGGAGGAACGGCGCCATGATTCTCCTGCTAGCTTCTTCCAGTCACTGCTTGGAACGAAGGCTTGGCGCAGCAGCAGCAGCGCAGCCTGGAGTAGCACGCTACTCCAGCGTGTGTGTTCCTCACGGCCTGCGAGACGGAGGGGGAGCGGACGGGGAATGGACGAGAGGCAACCATTCAGCGAGGAGGTAACCCGGATGCGTGCATGGCATTCTATCTCAGTCCCTTCTCCAGCCTTCGTCTGCTATCTCATCCACTCCCTTGTCTCTTCTTGCTCAGGCCTCGCTTCCTCTTCCTTGCCTTCCTTCCTCGCCTCACCTCCAGCACTCGAGGGGCAGTGATCACCACCAGTGGCTGCAGCAACGCAGGGATCACCAGTGGCTGCAACAGCTGCGGGATGATAGCGAGCACACAAGGAGTTGTGAGTCCATCAGACCAACCAGTACACCGCCTCTCCATTCTTGTGTTCTCGTGTGCAGTTCGGTCATGTCTACCATTTCCGCATGGCGGCCACATCTCTTTTCTGCTGTCTTGCCAGATCTTCATGCCACTCCTATCGTTTTACTGAATGCAAATATCATGATCTCTTCATCTCACTCCCCCCTCCCTGGCCAGAATGATGGGCAGGCCAGCACGCAAGGAATATCAGACCAACACAGCAGGAGCACCACGCCTGGAGCACCACGCCTGAAGTGAGGGCGTGGAGCAGGAGTGGGAGAGCAGCGAAGGGAGCATGGTACGTGCCAGGGGGTGCTTGCAGGGGGGCTGTGAAGTGAGTCGTAGGCGTCGCCACGCAGAGGCAAGAGTCGTGTCTGTTGCTTGCGGGTCCACCCCTCGCCACCTGCTGCTTCTAACCCTCCTTTGTTTTGCTACTTCTGTGTGTGTCTCTCTCTCTCCCCATGTGTGTGTGTGTGCCTCGTGGCCTGCAAAACGGAGAGCAATGGCGACACCTCAAGTGAAGGCATGGCGCAGGAGTGGGCGAGTGGCAGACGGAGCGTGGTACGTGCCACGGGGTGCTTGCAGGGGGGCCGTGAAGTGAGTCGTAGGGTGTCGCCGCGCAGAGGCAAGAGTCGTGTCTCTTGTTCTTGTGTCTGCCACTCGCCTCCTATCCTGTTGCTCCTAACCCTCCCTTGTTGTGCCGCTTCTGTGTTTGTGTTTTCTCTCCCAATGATTGCGAGGCGCGGGGGGGGGGGGATGGGAGGGGTGGAAAGGAGGGGGGGGGGGGGGGGGAGAGGGGGGGAGGGGGAGCGGAGGGGGTGGGGTGGGGGGGCGGCGCCTGTCCTTGTGTGCATGCGTGTGCATGTGCGTGCATGTGGGTGTCTCTCAGGTCAGGCTCCAGGGCGTGGAGTGCGGTGTGGTTCGAGAACTTGCCTGTGCGTCGGTGGGATGGGGACAACATCCGCTGCTTGCTTCTCGAAGACAAGAGGTAACCGAGAGTGAAGATGCAGCAGCAGGGCGAATGCATTTTCCGTTTCATCTTGTCTCAGTCCCCATTCCAGCTGCCATCTGCCATCTCCTTCCTCTCACGCCTCTCTTCCTCTTCCTTGCCATCTTTCCTCCCCTCTCTCCAGCACTTAAAGGGGAAGTGGATGCAGCAACTGCGGGAGGATGGCAAGCACACAAGTACTTGTAAGCCTCTTCGCCATTCTTAGTCTTTCTGTTTAGCCCCTGTGCCTTGTCTGCCGTCTTTCTACAGTGCCCATGTGTCTTTGCTACTCTGTTGCCAGATGTTCATGCCCCTCTGCTCGGCACTCAAATCCCATGCCTCTCCTGCCCTCTCCTTGTCTCTGCTCTCCTCACTCCCATGACCCGTATGGCAGCACCTATTGTCGTGCACCAGCAGCATGGACAGCAGCAGCAGTGGTGTTGGCAGCAGTAGTTGCAGCACACGAGAGACGACCTTCTCAGCGTTGACAAGTGAAACCATGGCACAGAGCGGAGTGCTGTGGTGTGCAGCTGCGGAGCTGCAGCAGCAGCTGTACCAAGTCAACTACTCGGCTGCAGTATGGGAGGGGCGTAGAAAAGGTACAAAATTGACTGACATTTCTCTTAGTGTGACTTTCCGACCTTAATTTCCAGTTGTCCCAGTCGTCCCATTGGGTTCCATTCATTTGCCCTTCCCACTCCCGCGATCTGTTGTTGGGGTCCCTTCGGCCCTTTTCTTGGCCTTTCTGTTGTAGTTTTGTTGTGTGAATACTCCTCTAGTTCACCTCTCTATCTCCTTCCTCCTGCCTATCCTCTGGCAGGAGTGGTCAACATGGGAGCGGCGTTCGAAGGAAACAGTAGCAAGGGACATTCATCATGCCCCCTTCTCCTGTACTCCGCGTCTTCCACCCTTGCCTGTTTGTTTCTCTTCCTTTTCATGCTTGAATGTGCCATCCGTCGTCTTTCCTATCACACATTCATAAATCTGAATCAACAACTTCAATCCTATCTCATGTCAAACAAGACCTCAAACCTGACCTCAAACCTGACGCCAAACCTGATTTCAAACCTGACGTCAAACCTGATGTCAAACCTGACCTCAAACCTGTCCTCAAACCTGACCTCTAACCTGACCTCAAACCTGACCTCAAATCTGACCTCAAACCTGACATCAAACCTGACGTCAAACCTGACGTCACACCTGGCGTCAAACCTGACCCTCAAACCTCACCTCAAACCTGACCTCACACCTGTCAATGGCGTCAAACCTGATGTCAAACCTGACATCAAACCTGACGTCAAACCTGACGTCAAACCTGACGTCAAACCTGACCTCAAACCTGACCTCAAACCTGGCGTCAAACCTGACCCTCAAACCTCACCTCAAACCTGACCTCACACCTGACGTCAAACCTGACGTCAAACCTGACATCAAACCTGACCTCAAACCTGACCTCAAACCTGACGTCAAACCTGACGTTAAACCTGACCTCACACCTGACGTCAAACCTGACATCAAACCTGACATCAAACCTGACCTCAAACCTGTCCTCAAACCTGACCTCAAACCTGACGTCAAACCTGACGTCAAACCTGGCGTCACACCTGACGTCAAACCTGACGTCAAACCTGACCCTCAAACCTGACCTCAAACCTGACCTCAAACCTGACCTCAAGCCTGACCTCAAACCTGACCTCAAACCTGACCTCAAACCTGACGTCACACCTGACGTCAAACCTGACGTCAAACCTGACCTCAAACCTGACCTCAAACCTGACCTCAAACCTGGCGTCAAACCTGACGACAAACCTGACCTCAAACCTGACCTCAAACCTGACGTCAAACCTGACGTCAAACCTGACGTCAAACCTGACCTCAAACCTGACCTCAAACCTGACCTCAAACCTGGCGTCAAAGTTGACGTCAAACCTGACCTCAAACCTGACCTCAAACTTGACGTCAAACCTGACATCAAACCTGACCTCAAACCTGACCTCAAACCTGACCTCAAACCTGAACTCAAATCTGACCTCAAACCTGGCGTCAAACTTGACGTCAAACCTGACCTCAAACCTGACCTCAAACCTGACCTCAAACCTAACCTCAAACCTGACCTCAAACCTGACCTCAAACCTGACTTCAAACCTGACGTCAAACCTGACGTTAAACCTGACCTCAAACCTGGAGTCAATGGCGTCAAACCTGACGTCAAACCTGACCTCAAACCTGGCGTCAAACCTGACGTCAAACCTGACGTCAAACCTGACGTCAAACCTGACCTCAAACCTGACCTCAAACCTGTCCTCAAACCTGACCTCAAACCTGACCTCAAACCTGACCTCAAACCTGACCTCAAACCTGACGTCAAACCTGACCTCAAACCTGACCTCAAACCTGTCCTCAAACCTGACGTCAAACCTGACGTCAAACCTGACCTCAAACCTGGCGTCAATCCTGGCCTCAAACCTGGCGTCAAACCTGACCTCAAACCTGGCCTCAAACCTGACCTCAAACCTGACCTCAAACCTGACCTCAAACCTGAACTCAAACCTGACCTCAAACCTGGCGTCAAACTTGACGTCAAACCTGACATCAAACCTGACCTCAAACCCGACCTCAAACCTCACGTCAAATCTGACGTCAAACCTGACGTCAAAACATGACGTCAAACCTGACCTCAAACCTGACCTCAAACCTGACCTCAAACCTGACGTCAAACCTCACCTCCAACCTGACGTCAAACCTGACGTCAAACCTGACGTCAAATATGACCTCAAACCTGACCTTAAACCTGACCTCAAACCTGACCTCAAACCTGACGTCAAAACCTGACCTCAAACCTGACCTCAAACCTGACCTGAAACCTGACCTGAAACCTGACCTCAAACCTGACCTCAAACCTGACCTCAAACCTGACCTCAAACCTGACCTCAAACCTGACCTCAAACCTGACCTCAAACCTGACGTCAAAACTGACGTCAAACCTGACGTCGAACCTGACCTCAAAGCTGACCTCAAACCTGACCTCAAACCTGACCTCAAACCTGACCACAAACCTGACCTCAAACCTGACCTCAAACCTGACCTCAAACCTGACCTCAAACCTGACCTCAAACCTGACCTCAAACCTGACGTCAAACCTGACGTCAAACATGACCTTAATCCTGACCTCAAACCTGACGTCAAACCTGACCTCAAACCTGACCACAAACCTGACCTCAAACCTGACCCCAAACCTGACCTCAAACCTGACCTCAAACCTGACGTCAAACCTGACGTCAAACATGACGTCAAACCTGACCTCAAACCTGACCTCAAACCTGACCTCAAGCCTGACCTCAAACCTGACCTCAAACCTGACCTCAAACCTGACGTCAAACCTGACGTCAAACCTGATGTCAAACATGACCTCAAACCTGACCTCAAACCTGACCTCAAACCTGACCTCAAACCTGACCTCAAACCTGACCTCAAACCTGACCTCAAACCTGACCTCAAACCTGACCTCAAACATGACGTCAAACCGGACCTCAAACCTGACCTCAAACCTGACCTCAAACCTGACGTCAAACGTGACCTCAAACCTGGAGTCAATGGCGTCAAACCTGACGTCAAACCTGATGTTAAACCTGACCTCAAACCTGGAGTCAATGGCATCAAACCAGACCTCAAACCTGACCTCAAACCTGACGTCACACCTGACGTCAAACCTGACGTCAAACCTGACGTCAAACCTGACCTCAAACCTGACCTCAAACCTGGCGTCAAACCTGACGACAAACCTGACCTCAAACCTGACCTCAAACCTGACGTCAAACCTGACGTCAAACCTGACGTCAAACCTGACCTCAAACCTGACCTCAAACCTGACCTCAAACCTGGCGTCAAAGTTGACGTCAAACCTGACGTCAAACCTGACATCAAACCTGACCTCAAACCTGACCTCAAACCTGACCTCAAACCTGAACTCAAATCTGACCTCAAACCTGGCGTCAAACTTGACGTCAAACCTGACCTCAAACCTGACCTCAAACCTGACCTCAAACCTAACCTCAAACCTGACCTCAAACCTGACCTCAAACCTGACTTCAAACCTGACGTCAAACATGACGTTAAACCTGACCTCAAACCTGGAGTCAATGGCGTCAAACCTGACGTCAAACCTGACCTCAAACCTGGCGTCAAACCTGACGTCAAACCTGACGTCAAACCTGACGTCAAACCTGACCTCAAACCTGACCTCAAACCTGTCCTCAAACCTGACCTCAAACCTGACCTAAAACCTGACCTCAAACCTGACCTCAAACCTGACGTCAAACCTGACCTCAAACCTGACCTCAAACCTGTCCTCAAACCTGACGTCAAACCTGACGTCAAACCTGACCTCAAACCTGGCGTCAATCCTGGCCTCAAACCTGGCGTCAAACCTGACCTCAAACCTGGCCTCAAACCTGACCTCAAACCTGACCTCAAACCTGACCTCAAACCTGAACTCAAACCTGACCTCAAACCTGGCGTCAAACTTGACGTCAAACCTGACCTCAAACCTGACCTCAAACCTGACCTCAAACCTGACGTCAAACATGACGTCAAACCTGACGTCAAAACATGACGTCAAACCTGACCTCAAACCTGACGTCAAACCTGACCTCAAACCTGGCCTCAAACCTGACCTCAAACCTGACCTCAAACCTGACCTCAAACCTGAACTCAAACCTGACCTCAAACCTGGCGTCAAACTTGACGTCAAACCTGACATCAAACCTGACCTCAAACCCGACCTCAAACCTCACGTCAAACCTGACGTAAAACCTGACGTCAAAACATGACGTCAAACCTGACCTCAAACCTGACCTCAAACCTGACCTCAAACCTGACGTCAAACCTCACCTCCAACCTGACGTCAAACCTGACGTCAAACCTGACGTCAAATATGACCTCAAACCTGACCTTAAACCTGACCTCAAACCTGACCTCAAACCTGACGTCAAAACCTGACCTCAAACCTGACCTCAAACCTGACCTGAAACCTGACCTGAAACCTGACCTGAAACCTGACCTCAAACCTGACCTCAAACCTGACCTCAAACCTGACCTCAAACCTGACCTCAAACCTGACCTCAAACCTGACCTCAAACCTGACGTCAAAACTGACGTCAAACCTGACGTCGAACCTGACCTCAAAGCTGACCTCAAACCTGACCTCAAACCTGACCTCAAACCTGACTTCAAACCTGACGTCAAACCTGACGTTAAACCTGACCACAAACCTGGAGTCAATGGCGTCAAACCTGACCTCAAACCTGGCGTCAAACCTGACGTCAAACCTGACGTCAAACCTGACGTCAAACCTGACGTCAAACCTGACGTCTAACCTGACGTCACACCTGACGTCACACCTGACGTCAAACCTGACGTCACACCTGACGTCAAACCTGACCTCAAACCTGACCTCAAACCTGACCTCAAACCTGACTCCAAACCTGGCGTCAAAGTTGACGTCAAACCTGACCTCAAACCTGACCTCAAACTTAACGTCAAACCTGACGTCAAACCTGACATCAAACCTGACCTCAAACCTGACCTCAAACCTGACCTCAAACCTGAACTCAAACCTGACCTCAAACCTGGCGTCAAACTTGACGTCAAACCTGACCTCAAACCTGACCTCAAACCTGACCTCAAACCTGACCTCAAACCTGACGTCAAACCTGACGTCAAACATGACGTCAAACCTGACCTCAAACCTGATGTCAAACCTGACCTCAAACCTGACGTCAAACCTGACCTCAAACCTGACGTCAAACCTGACGTCAAACCTGACGTCAAACCTGACCTCAAACCTGACCTCAAACCTGACCTCAAACCTGACCTCAAACCTGACCTCAAACCTGACCTCAAACCTGGCGTCAAACTTGACATCAAACCTGACCTCAAACCTGACCTCAAACCTGACCTCAAACCTGACGTCAAACCTGACCTCAAACCTGACCATAATCCTGACCTCAAACCTGACCTCAAACCTGACCTCAAACCTGACCACAAACCTGACCTCAAACCTGACCTCAAACCTGACCTCAAACCTGACCTCAAACCTGACCTCAAACCTGACCTCAAACCTGACCTCAAACCTGACCTCAAACCTGACCTCAAACCTGACGTCAAACCTGACGTCAAACATGACCTTAATCCTTACCTCAAACCTGACGTCAAACCTGACCTCAAACCTGACCACAAACCTGACCTCAAACCTGACCTCAAACCTGACCTCAAACCTGACCTCAAACCTGACGTCAAACCTGACGTCAAACATGACGTCAAACCTGACCTCAAACCTGACCTCAAACCTGACCTCAAACCTGACCTCAAACCTGACCTCAAACCTGACCTCAAACCTGACGTCAAACCTGACGTCAAACCTGATGTCAAACATGACCTCAAACCTGACCTCAAACCTGACCTCAAACCTGACCTCAAACCTGACCTCAAACCTGACCTCAAACCTGACCTCAAACCTGACCTCCAACCTGACGTCAAACCTGACGTCAAACCTGACGTCAAATATGACCTCAAACCTGACCTTAAACCTGACCTCAAACCTGACCTCAAACCTGACGTCAAAACCTGACCTCAAACCTGACCTCAAACCTGAACTGAAACCTGACCTGAAACCTGACCTGAAACCTGACCTGAAACCTGACCTCAAACCTGACCTCAAACCTGACCTCAAACCTGACCTCAAACCTGACGTCAAAACTGACGTCAAACCTGACGTCGAACCTGACCTCAAAGCTGACCTCAAACCTGACCTCAAACCTGACCTCAAACCTGACCTCAAACCTGACGTCAAACCTGACGTTAAACCTGACCACAAACCTGGAGTCAATGGCGTCAAACCTGACCTCAAACCTGGCGTCAAACCTGACGTCAAACCTGACGTCAAACCTGACGTCAAACCTGACGTCAAACCTGACGTCAAACCTGACGTCACACCTGACGTCACACCTGACGTCAAACCTGACGTCACACCTGACGTCAAACCTGACCTCAAACCTGACCTCAAACCTGACCTCAAACCTGACTCCAAACCTGGCGTCAAAGTTGACGTCAAACCTGACCTCAAACCTGACCTCAAACTTAACGTCAAACCTGACGTCAAACCTGACATCAAACCTGACCTCAAACCTGACCTCAAACCTGACCTCAAACCTGAACTCAAACCTGACCTCAAACCTGGCGTCAAACTTGACGTCAAACCTGACCTCAAACCTGACCTCAAACCTGACCTCAAACCTGACCTCAAACCTGACGTCAAACCTGACGTCAAACATGACGTCAAACCTGACCTCAAACCTGATGTCAAACCTGACCTCAAACCTGACGTCAAACCTGACCTCAAACCTGACGTCAAACCTGACGTCAAACCTGACCTCAAACCTGACCTCAAACCTGACCTCAAACCTGACCTCAAACCTGACCTCAAACCTGACCTCAAACCTGGCGTCAAACTTGACGTCAAACCTGACCTCAAACCTGACCTCAAACCTGACCTCAAACCTGACGTCAAACCTGACCTCAAACCTGACCATAATCCTGACCTCAAACCTGACCTCAAACCTGACCTCAAACCTGACCACAAACCTGACCTCAAACCTGACCTCAAACCTGACCTCAAACCTGACCTCAAACCTGACCTCAAACCTGACCTCAAACCTGACCTCAAACCTGACCTCAAACCTGACCTCAAACCTGACGTCAAACCTGACGTCAAACATGACCTTAATCCTTACCTCAAACCTGACGTCAAACCTGACCTCAAACCTGACCACAAACCTGACCTCAAACCCGACCTCAAACCTGACCTCAAACCTGACCTCAAACCTGACGTCAAACCTGACGTCAAACATGACGTCAAACCTGACCTCAAACCTGACCTCAAACCTGACCTCAAACCTGACCTCAAACCTGACCTCAAACCTGACCTCAAACCTGACGTCAAACCTGACGTCAAACCTGATGTCAAACATGACCTCAAACCTGACCTCAAACCTGACCTCAAACCTGACCTCAAACCTGACCTCAAACCTGACCTAAAACCTGACCTCAAACCTGACCTCCAACCTGACGTCAAACCTGACGTCAAACCTGACGTCAAATATGACCTCAAACCTGACCTTAAACCTGACCTCAAACCTGACCTCAAACCTGACGTCAAAACCTGACCTCAAACCTGACCTCAAACCTGACCTGAAACCTGACCTGAAACCTGACCTGAAACCTGACCTCAAACCTGACCTCAAACCTGACCTCAAACCTGACCTCAAACCTGACCTCAAACCTGACATCAAAACTGACGTCAAACCTGACGTCGAACCTGACCTCAAAGCTGACCTCAAACCTGACCTCAAACCTGACCTCAAACCTGACTTCAAACCTGACGTCAAACCTGACGTTAAACCTGACCACAAACCTGGAGTCAATGGCGTCAAACCTGACCTCAAACCTGGCGTCAAACCTGACGTCAAACCTGACGTCAAACCTGACGTCAAACCTGACGTCAAACCTGACGTCAAACCTGACGTCACACCTGACGTCACACCTGACGTCAAACCTGACGTCACACCTGACGTCAAACCTGACCTCAAACCTGACCTCAAACCTGACCTCAAACCTGACTCCAAACCTGGCGTCAAAGTTGACGTCAAACCTGACCTCAAACCTGACCTCAAACTTAACGTCAAACCTGACGTCAAACCTGACATCAAACCTGACCTCAAACCTGACCTCAAACCTGACCTCAAACCTGAACTCAAACCTGACCTCAAACCTGGCGTCAAACTTGACGTCAAACCTGACCTCAAACCTGACCTCAAACCTGACCTCAAACCTGACCTCAAACCTGACGTCAAACCTGACGTCAAACATGACGTCAAACCTGACCTCAAACCTGATGTCAAACCTGACCTCAAACCTGACGTCAAACCTGACCTCAAACCTGACGTCAAACCTGACGTCAAACCTGACGTCAAACCTGACCTCAAACCTGACCTCAAACCTGACCTCAAACCTGACCTCAAACCTGACCTCAAACCTGACCTCAAACCTGGCGTCAAACTTGACGTCAAACCTGACCTCAAACCTGACCTCAAACCTGACCTCAAACCTGACGTCAAACCTGACCTCAAACCTGACCTTAATCCTGACCTCAAACCTGACCTCAAACCTGACCTCAAACCTGACCACAAACCTGACCTCAAACCTGACCTCAAACCTGACCTCAAACCTGACCTCAAACCTGACCTCAAACCTGACCTCAAACCTGACCTCAAACCTGACCTCAAACCTGACCTCAAACCTGACGTCAAACCTGACGTCAAACATGACCTTAATCCTGACCTCAAACCTGACGTCAAACCTGACCTCAAACCTGACCACAAACCTGACCTCAAACCTGACCTCAAACCTGACCTCAAACCTGACCTCAAACCTGACGTCAAACCTGACGTCAAACATGACGTCAAACCTGACCTCAAACCTGACCTCAAACCTGACCTCAAACCTGACCTCAAACCTGACCTCAAACCTGACCTCAAACCTGACGTCAAACCTGACGTCAAACCTGATGTCAAACATGACCTCAAACCTGACCTCAAACCTGACCTCAAACCTGACCTCAAACCTGACCTCAAACCTGACCTCAAACCTGACCTCAAACCTGACCTCAAACCTGACCTCAAACCTGACCTCAAACCTGACCTCAAACCTGATGTCAAACCTGACCTCAAACCTGACCTCAAACCTGACGTCAAACCTGACCTCAAACCGGACCTCAAACCTGACCTCAAACCTGACCTCAAACCTGACGTCAAACCTGACCTCAAACCTGACCTCAAACCTGACCTCAAACCTGACCTCAAACCTGACCTCAAACCTGACCTCAAACCTGACCTCAAACCTGACCTCAAACCTGACCTCAAACATGACGTCAAACCGGACCTCAAACCTGACCTCAAACCTGACCTCAAACCTGACGTCAAACGTGACCTCAAACCTGGAGTCAATGGCGTCAAACCTGACGTCAAACCTGATGTTAAACCTGACCTCAAACCTGGAGTCAATGGCATCAAACCAGACCTCAAACCTGACCTCAAACCTGACGTCACACCTGACGTCAAACCTGACGTCAAACCTGACCTCAAAAACCTGACCTCAAACCTGACGTCAAACCTGACGTCAAACCTGACCTCAAACCTGACCTCAAACCTGACCTCAAACCTGACCTCAAACCTGACGTCAAACCTGATGTCAAACCCGACCTCAAACCTGACCTCAAACCAGACCTCAAACCTGACCTCAAACCTGACCTCAAACCTGACCTCAAACCTGACCTCAAACCTGACGTCAAACCTGACGTCAAACCTGATGTCAAACATGACCTCAAACCTGACCTCAAACCTGACCTCAAACCTGACCTCAAACCTGACCTCAAACCTGACCTCAAACCTGACCTCAAACCTGACCTCAAACCTGACCTCAAACCTGACCTCAAACCTGACCTCAAACCTGATGTCAAACCTGACCTCAAACCTGACCTCAAACCTGACGTCAAACCTGACCTCAAACCGGACCTCAAACCTGACCTCAAACCTGACCTCAAACCTGACGTCAAACCTGACCTCAAACCTGACCTCAAACCTGACCTCAAACCTGACCTCAAACCTGACGTCAAACCTGACCTCAAACCTGACCTCAAACCTGACCTCAAACCTGACCTCAAACCTGACCTCAAACCTGACCTCAAACCTGACCTCAAACCTGACCTCAAACCTGACCTCAAACATGACGTCAAACCGGACCTCAAACCTGACCTCAAACCTGACCTCAAACCTGACGTCAAACGTGACCTCAAACCTGGAGTCAATGGCGTCAAACCTGACGTCAAACCTGATGTTAAACCTGACCTCAAACCTGGAGTCAATGGCATCAAACCAGACCTCAAACCTGACCTCAAACCTGACGTCACACCTGACGTCAAACCTGACGTCAAACCTGACCTCAAAAACCTGACCTCAAACCTGACGTCAAACCTGACGTCAAACCTGACCTCAAAAACCTGACCTCAAACCTGACGTCAAACCTGACGTCAAACCTGACCTCAAACCTGACCTCAAACCTGACCTCAAACCTGACCTCAAACCTGACGTCAAACCTGATGTCAAACCCGACCTCAAACCTGACCTCAAACCAGACCTCAAACCTGACCTCAAACCTGACCTCAAACCTGACCTCAAACCTGACCTCAAACCTGACGTCAAACCTGACGTCAAACCTGATGTCAAACATGACCTCAAACCTGACCTCAAACCTGACCTCAAACCTGACCTCAAACCTGACCTCAAACCTGACCTCAAACCTGACCTCAAACCTGACCTCAAACCTGACCTCAAACCTGACCTCAAACCTGATGTCAAACCTGACCTCAAACCTGACCTCAAACCTGACGTCAAACCTGACCTCAAACCGGACCTCAAACCTGACCTCAAACCTGACCTCAAACCTGACGTCAAACCTGACCTCAAACCTGACCTCAAACCTGACCTCAAACCTGACCTCAAACCTGACCTCAAACCTGACCTCAAACCTGACCTCAAACCTGACCTCAAACCTGACCTCAAACATGACGTCAAACCGGACCTCAAACCTGACCTCAAACCTGACCTCAAACCTGACGTCAAACGTGACCTCAAACCTGGAGTCAATGGCGTCAAACCTGACGTCAAACCTGATGTTAAACCTGACCTCAAACCTGGAGTCAATGGCATCAAACCAGACCTCAAACCTGACCTCAAACCTGACGTCACACCTGACGTCAAACCTGACGTCAAACCTGACCTCAAAAACCTGACCTCAAACCTGACGTCAAACCTGACGTCAAACCTGACCTCAAACCTGACCTCAAACCTGACCTCAAACCTGACCTCAAACCTGACGTCAAACCTGATGTCAAACCCGACCTCAAACCTGACCTCAAACCAGACCTCAAACCTGACCTCAAACCTGACCTCAAACCTGACCTCAAACCTGACCTCAAACCTGACCTCAAACCTGACCTCAAACCTGACGTCCAACCTGGCGTCAAACTTGACGTCAAACCTGACCGCAAACCTGACTTCAAACCTGACCTCAAACCTGACGTCAAACCTGACGTCAAACCTGACCTCAAACATGACGTCAAACCTTACTTCAAACATTACGTCAAACCTGACCTCAAACCTGACGTCAAACCTGACCTCAAACCTGACGTCAAACCTGACCTCAAACCTGACGTCAAACCTGATGTCAAACCTGACCTCAAACCTGACCTCAAACCTGACCTCAAACCTGACCTCAAACCTGACGTCAAACCTGATGTTAAACCTGACCTCAAACCTGGAGTCAATGGCGTCAAACCTGACCTCAAACCGGACCTCAAACCTGACGTCACACCTGACGTCACACCTGACGTCACACCTGACGTCAAACGTGACGTCAAACCCGACCTCAAAAACCTGACCTCAAACCTGACGTCAAACCTGACCTCAAACCTGACCTCAAACCTGACCTCAAACCTGACGTCAAACCTGACGTTAAACCTGAACTCAAACCTGGAGTCAGTGGCGTCGAATCTGACGTCAAACCTGACCTCAAACCTGACGTCAAACCTGACGTCAAACCTGACGGCAAACCTGATGTCAAACCTGACGTCACACCTGACGTCACACCTGACGTCACACCTGACGTCATACCTGACCTCAAACCTGACCTCAAACCTGACCTCAAACCTGACCTCAAACCTGGCGTCAAACTTGACGTCTAACCTGACGTCAAACCTGACGTCAAACCTGACCTCAAACCTGACCTCAAACCTGACGTCAAACCCGACCTCAAACCTGACCTCAAACCTGACCTCAAACCTGACCTCAAACCTAACCTCAAACCTGACCTCAAACCTGACCTCAAACCTGACCTCAAACCTGATGTCAAACCTGACCTCAAACCTGACCTCAAACCTGACCTCAAACCTGACGTCAAACCTGACCTCAAACCTGACCTCAAACCTGACCTCAAACCTGACCTCAAACCTGACCTCAAACCTGGCGTCAAACTTGACGTCAAACCTGACCGCAAACCTGACTTCAAACCTGACCTCAAACCTGACGTCAAACCTGACGTCAAACATGATAGAATTGGAACTGAACTGATTGATTAGGAAAGAAGGTACTAGGCCTTAAGTTCTACAAACGAGGTTGGGATGGGGAAGGCGAGGGAAAATATGGATGGGGATCCTAGCAAATCTCCAATTGGTGAGTTGGCAGATTTGCAGGATTACGAGGGAATCCCAACCAGATAGGGTTGGGATCACAAACTACACCCAACCTGCAAATAACCTACGCGATATAGAATATAGTACACAAAGTGTTGATAGCCTAATTCTAATACACCCCCTAGGCTGCAACACATCAGCCACAAGGAGGCCCAACACCCATGGCCGAGAGGAGGCGGTAATGATCCTCGCGAACAAGCGACTTGGTAAACAAGTCAGCAAGGTTGCAGTCGGAGGCAATGTGTTCAGCCTTCAGCTGCTCGCGCTGCACCAGCTCACGAAGAAAGTAGTGACGGACTTCAATGTGCTTGGTGCGGCCATGGAAAATGGGGTCTTTGGTGAGATGAATGGTGCTTTCGTTGTCACACCAAAGCGTTGGGGTTGGTTGGGGATACCCCACTTCTGTCAGCAGAAAGGAGAGCCAACGAGCCTCCTGTGCAGCCATGGTCCCGGCATACAGCTCTGCCTCACAGGTCGACAGTGAGACGGAGGACGACCGAGTGGAGCGCCAACTTACAACCCCACTGCCAAGGGTAAAGCAATACCCTTGGGACGAGCGCCGATCACTCTGGTCATCAGCATAGGATGAGTCACTGTACCCCTCAAGGCGAACAGGGGAAGCGCCGGCAAGTGTGAGCACATAATCCTGTATGCTTTTGAGATAGCGAAGAATCCGCTTGGCGGCAGGGTGTTGCTCGGATGAAGAGGCTGGGGTCAGAGGTGGATGGGTGAAAGTCGAGGGACCCTAAGGTGCTCTTTAGCTTGTTGTGCCATTCCCGGGGAGCTTGCTTGGGGCCATACATTGGCCGATTCAGCTTCCATACAGTGCCTGGTGGAAAAGGAGCTGGAAATCCTTCGGGCCGCTCCATATAGATTTCCTTTCGAAGGATCCCTTGCAGGAACGCAGAAGACACATCCATGCAGTCAACCTCCATGTCATCTCGAGCAGCGACATCGAGAAGGGTGCGCAGTGTGGGAGGTTTGGCGGTGGGAGAGGATGTCTCAAAGAAGTCCAGTCCACGCTTTTGGGTAAATCCCTTGGCACAGTACCGGGCTTTGAATACAGGAAATTCGCCTGGAAGTTGTTTCACCCGAAAGACCCATTTTCCCTTCACAATGTTGACGCCGGAGGGAGGAGAGACGTCTGTGAAAGTTCCTGTGTGAATGAAGGCCTCACATTCTGCGACAATGGCCCCCAACCACTGAGCGGCGTGAGGACCAGAGACTGCTTCAGCATAGGTGAGAGGTGTGGGGATGGAGGGGTTGTCGGAGAAATTGAGGGTGGGAGAGTCTGCGATGTCTGGAAAGAGGAAGCAGAGTGTGTGGATGGCTGAGTCGATATCAATCAACTCCTCATGTCTGTCTTCAAGGAGGGATGGCCTGAGAGAATAATCACCCCCGACAGGAGGAGGATTGAGAGAGACGCGAACGGAAAGGGAGAACGGTTGTGGAGGTGTGCGAGAGCGGGTGCGAGAAGCGATGGGTGAGGGAGGCGGGGCCGGAGTAGGCGCAGCGGAAGGGGAGGTGGGAGTGGGAGGGAGAGTGGAGACAGGATCGAGATCAGGGGTGGGAGCAGGAGGAGGAGGAGTTGGGTGGCGGCGTTGGTAGGTTTTAAGAGGAACGGGCTCGGTAGGAGGAGATGCGAGAGGAGATTGAGGAGGGGTAGCGGAGGAGGGAGGGAGCGAGGGAGACTGTGTGGTACTGGAGGGGGAAGCGGGTGATGGGGGATCAGAAATGGTGGAAGGAGCGGGAAAAGGAGGAGATGGAGTGTCGGGAAGAGGGAGACTGTCAAAGTCAGCCCAAGTAAGAGAGGGAGGCGGAGGAGAGGGGGAAGCCTTGGAGGAGGGGTAGAATGGGTGGGACTCATCAAAGTAAACGTCCCGGTTGCGATAGAGCTTGTTGGTGGAAGGATGGAGGAAGAGATAGTCTGGCGAATCTAAATTGTGCCCGAGGTATACGCACGTGATCGTTTTGGGAGCAAGTTTGCCGCCAGCCGCACGACGGGCTTGGGAGTTGAGGAGGACATAGGAAGTGCACCCCCATACACGAAGAGGGCGGACGGATGGCTTTTGACCCGTCCATAGCTCAGCGGGGGTGGTGTGGGTGTGATGAGGATGGGGATGGAGATTGTGGAGGGCGGCAGCATGAAGCATGGCGTACCCCCAGAGAGAGGGAGGGGCGGAGGCGTGCGTGAGGAGGCAGCGAGCAATCTGCACCAATGTACGGTTCCGGCTTTCGGCAATACCGTTCTGTTGGGGACTGTCCGGGAGAGTGAAGGTCTGACGGATACCCTCAGTGGAGCAGTAAGCTTTGAGAGTGTTGTTGCGGGATTCACCGCCACCGTCAGAGTGAAGGACCTTGATGGTGGTTTTGAAGTGTTTGTGAGTCTGCCTCGCCCATTCAATGATGACGCCTGGGGCTTCGGATTTGGAGGAGAGAAGGTGGACAGACACATAGCGGGAATAGTCATCAATGATGACAAGGAAGTAAAAGTGTCCACCGCGAGAGCGAACAGGAGCTGGGTCCCAAAGGTCCATGTGCACGCGATCGAGAGGTGCAGCGGAGATAGACTCAGTGGGGGGATGGGGCTGTTCACGAAGCTTGCTCTGTGCACAGTCAAGGCAAGGCGGCCCTAGGGTGGAGGTAGGAGAGGGAAGTGAGGTTGGAAGCCCGTGGAGGAGTTGTTTTGAGGCAAGGTCTGAAAGCGCGCGAAAGTTGATGTGGCCAAGGCGGTGATGAAAGAGCATGGTTTTGTCGGAAAGAAGGCGGCAGTGACAGGTGGAAGAGTCAAGGGAAGGTAACGGGAGGTTTGTGAGGGAGCACGTTTGAATTGGAGGTACTACGGGCGTGTATAGGTTGTTGGAGTTGAGAGTGAAGCGGGCTAGATGAATGCCGGTTTTAGCGTCAAAGAGGTCACAGTAGTCGACATCATTGGGAAAGATGGTGATCACTCCTGCTTGTTGGATTTCACTTTGTGCCAGGAGGTTGTGGCGGAGGGTGGGGGCACAGATGCCAGTGACTGTGCCCGATGGAAATGCTGGACAAGGAACTGTGGAGGACCCATGGCATTGGATGGAGAAGCTAGAGTCGGCTCCGAGGAGTGGGATGGGAGCCTGGTAAGGAACGAACGCGGTTTGGTCTTTCAGCACTGTGTGGGTGGCACCACTATCTAGTATGAACTCGATCCCTTGTGTGTTTGAAACACCGATGTACTGTGACCCCTTCTCATTAATAAGACCAGCACCTGAGAACAACAGGTTGAGGCGAATATCAGATGGGGTGCTATCAACTGAGGGACTAGGCACCTCCACTGCCTCGACATGGTTCACGCGACGGGGTGGGGACCAGTTGGGAGGGCGCTTGTTGGTGGAGACACCATGGACGTCGTACCACTCATCATCTCGCTTCTTGAAGCAAGTTGCCTCAGGGTGGTTGGTGCCTCCGCATTTCTGCCCCGTACGTGGGCCTTTCCTAATGATGTAGGGGCATGGGGGAAAAGAGTTGCGCCTTGGTCCTTGTTGGGAGCGGAATGGGATTCCAGGGGTGTAGCGCACAGCATTGACGGATGCTTGGGCTGCAAGGTCCTTTTCGGCGGAAAAGAGTGTCAGACTTTATATTATTTATATTTGTAACTGCCTGTAGCTGTAGTTAGTGTAGTTATTGCAAATTTTGTTAGGTGGTGCACCCTTTTGTTTCCTATACTATATGTTCCTTGAACCTATAGTGAAACTCACTTTTCACCTTCACAACTTCCTCGACTCTCCCCCCTTGGGCCCAACTCACTCGATACCTAAGTTGGGCCTAGGCTCCTAAGCCTAGGCCCTTACGTTCTAATTTCTTTAACATGGTTATCAGAGCTGTTTGGTCCTGGCCTGTGGGCCCGACCAAAGCTTCCGCTGCTGAATTTCTGGTCGCGCGCCTCGGGCGCGTGACGTCTTTTTTTTCTACCCGTCGCGGACCCGCCCCTGGCGCCCGCGACGGCGCTCTGAGCCGTCGCGGACCCGCCTCTGGCGCCTGCGGCGGTGCCCTGAGCCGTCGCGGACCCGCCTCTGGCGCCTGCGGCGGTGCACTGAGCCGCCGCGGACCCGCCTCTGGCGCCTGCGGTGGTGCCCTGCGCCATCGCGGACCCGCCCCTGGCGCCCGCGGCGGTGCCCTTGAGCCGCCGCGGACCCGCCATTGGCGCCTGCGACGGTGCTTTCCGCCCCTGCACTCCCTGAAGCCGCCCCTGACACCACTGCACCGACACCTTTTCGCCGCTCTGCGGCTTTCTTCCTTCCCACCCCCCTCCTCCTTTGTCTCCCTGCAGCCGCGGGGAGGAGGGTATGGGGGTGGAGGGTGTTGGAGTGTGGGTCGTACCCTTCCCTTCCCCTCCTCCTCCTTTTGTTCCCAATGCTGCAGCTGCCGCTGGGGGGGAGGGTGTGAGGGTGTGGGGGAGCAGGGGGAGAGGCGCCGGGGTGACGGGTGTGAGGCAACCAGCAGCCGTCCCTCCACCT